TAAATGTACTTACAAAAGATCAAAAATTTCAGATTGAAATCTTGAATTCCATTTCAAATCCTCAGACCAAACAAAAATTTTTAGAAACAATCCTTTCTTCCCTTAACGAAAAAAATAAAAATCTCTGAAAACACATCAAAGCCTCATAATCCAACATCTTCAAAATCATCGTATGATCTAACCACAATCCTTAACAAAAGAAAGAAAGATAGTTCTAAAACAACAATTCAAGATCTTAGGATGGAAATAAAAGAGGTAAAAAATGATCTCAAAACTCTTAGAGAAAAACAAAAAAGGGATTCTGAGTATTTTCACTCAATTATATCTTCTATCAAAGGGAATCATGATTCTAGTTCTGATGAACAAGACAATGATAACCTAGATAACATAGAAGATGATATCAGTCTCAAAGAACAAATACAGTCTCTAGACTCTGCCCCTAAAGATTTCCTCTGTGTTTTAAGAGAAATCACTTCCCGAAAATATAAAATAAAAATCACACTTGTTTTTTCTGAAAATTACAAAATTGATACGATCACTCTGTTTGATACAGGCGCTGATCTTAATTGCATCAAGTCTTGGCTTGTCCCAAAATTTTTTCATCTAGAAACACGAGAAAAATTATCTGCTGCTAATAATTCCAAACTCTGCATAACATCTAAAGCAGAAGCTTCAGTTTTAAAAGATAATATATTCATCAAGACTGCATTCGTCTTAACAGATGATATATATCAGAATGTTATATTAGGAACTCCCTTCATAAATTTAATCACACCATACAAAGTTATGGATGATTCAATTTCTTTTAAAACCCAAAACAAAAAACTGTCTTTCCAATTTCTTGAATCACCTAAAATGCGAAGTCTAAATTTAATAAAAGCTTGCTCAATACAAGAGAATTTCTTAAATTCTTTAATATATAGTAAAACATTCCATTTGGAAAATTTAAAATCTGAATTTTTACTACAAAAAACAAAGAAGGCTTTGGATATGAAAGAAGTAAAAGACAAAATTTAAATCTTGAAAAACTTTTCGAAAAGGAAATTTATTCAGAATTACCAACAGCCTTTTGGAATCGCAAACAACACATTGTTGATTTGCCATACGAGGGAAATTTCAATGAAAAAGAAATTCCCACTAAGGCTCGTCCTATACAAATGAACTCTGAATTAGAAAAACATTGTAGAAAAGAAATTTCTGATCTTTTATACAAAGGCTTAATTTCAAAATCAAGATCTCCTTGGTCATGTGCTGCTTTTTATGCGAATAAAAATTCTGAAATTGAGAGAGGCACTCCTAGGTTAGTAATAAATTACAAACCTTTAAATACCGCATTAAAATAGATTAGATATCCAATACCAAATAAAAAAGATTTACTTCAAAAGCTTTATTCTGCCCACATATTTTCAAATTTTGATCTTAAATCAGGATTTTGGCAAATTCAAATCTCTAAAACAGATCGCTATAAAACAGCATGTATGGTTCCTTTTGGTCAATACCAGTGGAATGTAATGCCAATTGGTTTAAAAAATGCACCTTCGGAATTTCAAAGAATCATGAATGACATATTTTCTGAATATTCAAAATTTTGTATTATTTACATTGATGATATTTTAATATTTTTAAATTCTCTTGATGAACATTTTAAACATTTGAAGACATTTTATTATGTTGCAAGAAAAAATGGTCTTGTTGTTTCAAAAACAAAAATGTCTTTATTCCAAATTAAGATCAGATTTCTAGGGCATTACATATCGCAAGGTATGATAACCCCGATAGAAAGATCTTTAGAATTTGCAAACAAATTTCCAGATAAAATTTTAGATAAAACTCAGTTACAAAGGTTCCTTGGTAGTCTTAATTATGTATTAGATTTCTGTCCTAACATTAATAGGATAACAAAACCATTACATAGTCGTCTAAAGAAAAACCCAGTTCCTTGGACAAAAGAGCATACTGCACTAGTACAAATAATTAAAAAGCAGGTTCTTGAAATCCCTTGTCTGCACATAGTGGATCCAGATTTAGAAAAGATTGTAGAAACAGATGCATCAGATGTAGGATATTGTGGTATTCTTAAACAAAAGAACATAGATGGTCAAGAAAGTATAATACAATTTACATCTTCGCATTGGAATGATACCCAAAGAAATTATTCTACTATTAAAAAAGAGATTTTAAGTATAGTACTATGTATACAAAAATTTCAAAGTGATCTCTTGAATAAAAAAAATTATTACGTATCGATTGCAAAAGCGCTAAAGATGTTTTACAAAAAGATGTTAAAAACCTTGCCTCAAAACAAATTTTTGCACGATGGCAAGCAATTTTAAGTATTTTTGATTTTGATATAGAATATATTAAAGGAGATTCAAACTCTGTTCCAGATTTCTTGACAAGGGAATTTCTTCAAAACAGGTACGATGCCTCCGAGGAAGATTGATAAAGGAAAAGGCATATCCCTGGAACCAATCCCAAAAAAAACCTTACCCCCAAACACATCTCCATAGATAAAAACAGAACCCTGGATCTCCGTTACAAAAAAGAATGTGAAAAAGAAGAACATTCTGATTCTCTTCAAACTCCAGAGAAAATCATGGATCAAATTCTACAGCTACAAAAAGCCTTCGAGCTAAGTTTTTCAAAACAGGCGAAGGGTGATTCTTCTAAAACCCCCTCTTCGAAAAATGTTTTAAAATCCTCTGAGGTCCCTTCAAAAATAATTTCACATGAAAACCAGACCCCTAAAATGATTTCAAAACCTTCGAATAATTCAAAAATTATTCTGAAGGAGTTTCCTCAAAACTCACTTTCTGAAAATTTTGAAAAAATTATTTACCAAAACATTATAAATATTGAAAAAGGATTTTTGGTCAGCAATGACCCATTTTCAACAATCGAAAAATATTTTGGGAAAAACAGATTTTTCAAACCTCATAATACAGATAAAACTGTGTTATTCTTTCAAACAATTTTGGAAATAACTGTTGGGGTCGGTTTCCACCCCACACAAGTAAACCATCCCAAAATAACTAAGTATAGAAAATGGGAGAGCCGTGATCATCAAAACGGGAGAGCCGTTCTCACCAAGGCAAGAAGGAGAGCCGTTTTCACCAAGAAAGGCGGGAGAGCCGCGATCGCCAGGTGGGAGAGCCGAGAAGAAGGAGATGGGCCGAGCCGTATAACATAACATAGGCCGAGCCCCTGCCTTAAATACCTGGGCCGAGCCGTACCGCGGAGAGGTGGAGCGAATTATGTCAAGTGGGCCGAGCCGTAAAGAAAGCATGATGGGCCGAGCCGAAGCCTTGAAGAGGCGAAGCCCACGAAAAACCCTAGGCGAGATGCAAAGTCGATCAGCCGCACGAGGCGATAAGGAAATATTCCGAAAATCTCGTCCGAGATTCTCGGCTAGGCGGTTTAGAAAATCAGTATAAATATGTGGTGTATGTAATTCATTCCGCCAACTTTTGGCAACCCTAAGCAATAAGAACCAAACACTTTCACAGCAAGAAAAGCTTCTTTGGATTTTACTGTTTTTGGCGATAAGCCCTAGAAGTTTCCGATCCCTTAGTTTTCTTTACAAATCTTAGGTTGTGCGAGTTTTGGCTCACACAATTTGGCGCCGTCTGTGGGGACAGGAACTTTCTTACTCTATATCGACAAAGCTTTAAGATTCGAAGAAAATGGCGAGCAACGCTAACGACGACAACAACAACACCAGTAACGGCGCGGATAGGGACGCTCCAGGATCAGGCACAACGACCGCGCCGACAACAACGGCGACGACCGAAACCCATGAGAAGATGCGATACATGATAGCTGCGTTGATGAAAAAGATCGACGACCAAGACAAAAGAAACGAGGCGATTACGGCGAGGCTTGACGCAATGGCAGCAGAGCGACGGCATCCGACTTGGAGAGCCGGAGTCAACGACCCGATGGACGGAATTCGGAGACGCTTCGACTTCTCGACGCCCGCCGAAGCCTCAGGGAGTGGTGCAAGAAACTCCTCTTTTCTTCGTCCCCTCGACGAACGCACTCCTGCAGCAACCCGAATCAACATGACCGAGCCGCCTCCACTACGCCGCAACTCCAGGCAACGAGCCGGCGAGGAAGGAGACGACGCGATCGACGTAGACGCCCAGCAAAACGACGAGACCATAAATCCGCAACAAACTGGCTCGGCTCGTCGAATCAGTGAAGAAGAACTCGCCTCGGCACTGAATGGCATCCGGACCGACGAAGTCTCCGATCTAGCCCGAGGCGATAACCCAACCGAAGCGGACGAGAATCCCCAATGGAACGAGCAGGAAGAGCGCGAAGACGAGCCGAGGCGAAAGGAGCGGGAGCGACTTCCCGAATCAAAGGGAATGTCTCATGCACAAACCCTCGAGCTTAAAGAGCTGCGAGCCTCTATGGCCCGAACGGTAGCTGAAATACGCGCTATGAAATCCCAAGTGCACAACGCGACAAGTGCCGCACCCGAAATCGACCGAATGCTCGAAGAAACCCAAAGAACCCCGTTCACTGCAAGGATCACGGAAGCCAGGATTCCCGAGCCAGGGAAGGTGAGAATTCCGTTCTACGAAGGAACAACCGACCCAAAAGCACACATCACAGCGTTTCGAATAGCGATGGGGCGAGCTTTCACAAAGAACGTCGCTAAACTCACCGAGCGCGAAGTGGATGCCGGATACTGTCTGCTCTTCGTGGAGCATCTCAAGGGAGCCGCACTCGAGTGGTTCTCAAGGCAGGAACGAAATTCAATCGGCAGTTTTCAGCAGCTCTCCGCCTTGTTCCTTAAACAATACTCGATGTTTATGGACAGAGGAACATCTGATGCCGATCTATGGACACTATCTCAAGGACCGAACGAACCGCTTCGGGATTACATGACGTGATTCAAGGCGGTCGTATCCAAAATAGAAGGGATAAGCGACAAGGCTGCACTCGAGGCTCTGAAACGATCCTTGTGGTACAAATCCGAATTCCGCCGCGAGATGGCTCTCAATACGCCGCAAACAATTCAAGACGCGTTGCACCGATCATCAGACTTCGTCGTAAACGAGGAGGAAATGAAAAACTTGGACGAGCAGTACGAAGCCACGAAAGCAGCGATCCGAAGCTCAATTGTGCCACGCCCAGCGAAGAAGGGCAATCCATCAACCAACGCGGCAACGCAGAGTTCGGAGGAACCTAGGAGCGGAGGTGCCCATAACTACCAGGTCAGCTCCGGACGCGGAAGAGGGGAGCTGCGCAACAATACCTGGGTAAGAAAGTCAGCCAACTACGACGAGAAGGCTTTCTGCGAGTATCACCAGACTTACGGACACTCAACGGCTCAATGCCGGACCCTGGGAGCAAAGCTCGCAGCCAAAATGGCAGCAGGAGATCTCCAAAACGCGGTCAGCCTCAAGGACCTCGTCCCTAACGAACAACAGGAAAAAGCCGAGCCGAGCGGTGCGGCGGAACCAACGAATCCTCCCCGACGAGGCGACAACCCCAAGCGCGACAGGCGAGGCGAACCCGAAGAGCGACCCGAGCCGAGGCAAAGGATCAATATGATCATGGGTGGATCCCAGTACTATCAAGATACCGTTTCCTTAATCAAAGCCTATCAGCGCCGAGCCGAAGCAAAGGAGAATTGGGCAGAGCCGACTGACATCCCAAACACGGTGATCTCTTTTGCTGAGGAGGAAACAGCAGGAATCGATCGACCTCACAATGATCCGTTAGTAGTCGAGCTAACGATCAGGGATCATGACGTAGCAAGGGTGCTCATCGATACTGGAAGCTCGGTGAATGTCATCTTCAGGGAAACGCTCAGGAGAATGGGAATCGACCTCTCCGAAGTGGAGGCAATCCCCAAACCTCTAACCGGATTTTCGGGAGAAACGACGATGACTATGGGAACGGTCAGGCTTCCTGTGGTAGCTGGCGGAGTCACCAAGATCGTCGAGTTTTGTGTCACTGACCTCCCAGCCATCTATAACGTCATCATGGGAACCCCTTGGATCAACGGGATGAGGGCGGTACCTTCCACCTATCATCTTTGTCTCAAATTCCCAACTCCATCAGGTGTCAAAACGATATGGGGAAATCAGAAGGAATCAAGAAATTGCTTCCTAACCGAGCATAAGCTAAGGAACCCCGTCACCGACGCACGAGCTGACATAGACCGCAAAAAGATGAAGACAGACAGAGAGCCTGCGAACGAGCTCTCCAAACTCTTATAGCAATTACAGGTCGCGGAGAGCCGCGAAACACGCACCGAGCCGATATGTGACGCAGTGGACTCGGTGTGCATAGACGAGGCGCATCCGGAGCGGTGCGTCGAAATTGGAACACAACTAGGCGAACCTTTGAGAAGCAAGCTCCTTTCCCTCCTCAAGGAAAACATCGATACCTTTGCCTGGACGGCGGAAGACATGCCAGGCATCAGCATCGACGTAACCTGTCACGAGCTTAATGTGGATCCAACCTTCAAGCCAGTCAAGCAGAAAAGAAGAAAGCTTGGTCCAGAACGAGCTAAAGCAGTCAACGACGAAGTTGAAAGATTACTCCAGGTAGGATCAATCGCCGAGGCCAAATATCCGGACTGGCTCGCAAACCCGGTGGTTGTGAAGAAGAAGAACGGCAAGTGGCGAGTCTTTGTGGATTTCACCGACCTCAACAAGGCGTGCCCAAAAGACAGCTTTCCCCTGCCACATATCGACCGGCTCGTCGAGGCCACTGCGGGGAACAAACTGTTAACATTTATGGACGCGTTCTCCGGCTATAATCAGATCCTGATGCATCCTGATGATCGGGAAAAAACGGCATTCATAACCGATCGCGGGATATATTGCTACAAAGTCATGCCGTTCGGGCTCAAAAACGCAGGAGCAACATATCAACGGCTCGTCAACAAAATGTTTGCAGCTCAGCTCGGGAAAACTATGGAGGTATACATCGACGACATGTTAGTTAAGTCACTCGAGGAGGAAGACCACGTCGCGCACCTACAAGAATGTTTCGAGCAGTTGAACAAGCACAACATGAAGCTAAATCCGGCGAAGTGCAGATTCGCAGTCACCTCGGGAGAATTCCTCGGCTATCTGGTAACCCACCGAGGCATAGAAGCAAACCCCAAGCAGATTAAGGCGTTAGTTGAAATGCCCTCTCCAAGGACGAAGCGCGAAGTACAAAGGTTAACAGGAAGAGTCGCTGCGCTAAATCGATTTATCTCCCGTTCCACGGACAAATGCCTGCCTTTCTACGACACCCTCAGAGGAAACAAGAAATTTGAATGGGACGAACGATGTGAGACGGCTTTCCAAGAACTGAAGACTTATCTGGCGAGCCCGCCAATCTTAGCAAAACCGGTCGAAGGAGAGCCGCTCTTCCTCTACATCGCGGTGTCTGCTACAGCTGTAAGTGGGGTATTAATCAGAGAAGAACGATCCGAGCAAAAACCCATTTTCTACATCAGCCAAACACTGACCGACGCCGAGACCCGCTACCCACAAATCGAGAAGGTCGCCCTAGCCGTCGTAGTCTCGGCTCGCAAGCTGCGCCCATACTTTCAGTCGCATTCGATTGTTGTGCTCGCCACCCTTCCGCTGCGTTCGATCCTGCACAGCCCAAGCCAATCCGGTCGGCTCGCCAAGTGGGCCATAGAGCTGAGCGAATACGACATCGAGTATCGGAATAGGTCGTCTGCAAAATCACAAGTGCTCGCTGATTTCCTGATTGAACTCCCGGCCGAAGCAACAAATGAGCCAACCCTAGACAAAGTATGGACAATGCACGTCGACGGCTCGTCATCTAAACATGGCTCGGGAATAGGAATCCGCCTTACCTCTCCCACCGGAGAAATACTTGAGCAGTCTTTTCGCCTGAACTTCCACGCCTCGAATAACGAAGCGGAATACGAGGCACTGATCGCCGGCATACGGCTAGCACAAGGAATCGGAGTTCAAAGAATACGAACCTTCTGCGACTCGCAGCTCGTAGCATGTCAGTTCAACGGAGAATACGAGGCGAAGGATGGACGTATGGGCGCTTACCTCAAAGTGGTCCGGGAGTTGGTGCAAAAGTTTGATGAGTTCGAACTCACTCGCATTCCCCGAGGAGAAAACACCTCGGCCGACGCATTAGCAGCACTTGCTTCAACCTCGGACCCGGACCTCCGACGAACGATCCCAGTCGAATTCATCGAACGCCCTAGCATCGAAGAAGTAGAAGGAGTTCGGCTGATAAATCCTCCTGACCAAGAGCCAGAAGACGACAAAGCCATTCCGATGGAGGAAGACGCCTCGTCGGCCGAGCCGGAATACGGCTGCGACAAAGAATGGCTCGGGGCCATCCGAACGTACATCGCCGACGGAGAGGCGCCAACCGACAAATGGGAAGCCCGCAAGCTTAAAGCTCAGGCAGCACGTTATGTCCTCGTCGATGGCAAGGTGTTTAAATGGAGATTTTCGGGGCCTCTCATGACATGCGTCGAAGGACCGGAAGCACAAAAGATCATGCACGAGGTGCATAGCGGCGCGTGCGGTAACCACTCCAGCGGAAGGTCGCTCGCTATCAAGATAAAACGGCACGGCTACTTCTGGCCTACGATGGTCAAAGACTGCGAGAAATTCACGGCGAAATGCGAGAAATGTCAGCGGCACGCCCCAACAATTCACCAACCTACCGAGCTGCTCTCGTCAATTTCATCGCCCTATCCATTCATGAGATGGTCGATGGACATCGTCGGACCTCTACATCGCTCGAAACAGAAGCGTTTTCTGCTCGTCCTCACGGATTACTTTTCCAAGTGGGTCGAGGCCGATTCTTACGCAAGTATAAAAGATGTCCAGGTCGAACACTTCATCTGGAAAAATATAATCTGCCGACACGGGGTCCCTTACGAGATCGTCACCGACAACGGATCCCAGTTTATTTCAACACGCTTCGAAGCTTTCTGCGAGAAGTGGAAAATCCGCCTCAGCAAATCCACGCCAAGATACCCTCAAGCGAATGGACAAGCCGAAGCAGCCAACAAGACGATCCTCGACGGTCTGAAAAAGAGGCTCGACGAGAAGAAAGGACGGTGGGCAGACGAACTCGAAGGAGTCCTTTGGTCTCATCGGACAACTCCGCGCCGAGCCACTGGGGAAACTCCATTCGCTCTGGTCTACGGATCGGAGTGCGTAATTCCCCCCGAGGTGGACTTTCCAGGTATTCGACGAAGACTTCTACCAGGACAAGAAGGCTTAAACCACTTAATGATGCTAGATGAGCTCGACCTAATCAACGAAAAGCGCGACCAAGCCCTAGTTCGAATTCAGAACTACCAACAAGCAACGGCGCGGTACTACAACAAAAACGTTCGTAGCCGAAGATTCAAAGAGGGAGAAGAACGCAGGAAAGCTCGGAGCAAATTGGGAAGGTCCTTACAAGATCACCAAAGTGGTTCGTCCGGGAGTTTACGAACTCGCGACACTAGCCGACGAGGCGATTCCAAGATCATGGAACGCAATGCATCTGAAGAAATACTATCACTAAGGATACAGCACGACCAGCATGAACTACGGGACGGCTTGATCCCTGCAAAGGGTACGTAGGCAGCCCGTCTTCGGGCGGGTTCAGCTGTCCCCCCTCCTAAAAAGGGGGGGGAGTGGGTACGTGTACACATACCTCCTTTAACTCTATTATTCTGACTTACCCACTTAGGAACGTCGCCACTTCGGCATATTCTCAGTTCGTTTTTAATCATCTACTTATTTCACTTTTGCCCTTGATTCCTAGTTCAATTATTATCGCTTCGGCTAGCTTCACATTGTAACAAGCTCGGATTTTAAAATTTTATCACTCATCACTTCGGCAAGTAATCATACCACATCGCATAATATCATGACCCGATTATCTCGGACCTTAATCAGTCCTCAGTTTCAGTTCGGCAAACTAAGCCTCCGAACGCCTCGTCTCGTTGCTGGCCACAACGGGACAACAAGTACAAAGTTCTCTAAACGGACTTTTACCACCTTTCCTAGGACGAGGGTGCAAATTACATCCTCTACGGATAAAAATTAAGCGCGCTATACAAGTATCAGACCAAAAACGTACCTGGTCGCCACGGTTTACTATCGCACACGAGAATATAAGTCGAGACTACATCGCTTTCTCTAAAACCGAAGTAAACTCTTAAACCCGGATAAACATACTCGAGAACACCGATCCTTAGACAGGTTCGATAACACTTCAACCTCGGCTAACAAAAGCAGAACGCCTCGTCGTTTTTACGGCTCGGCACCACTCGAAGCAAAACGCCTCGCCGTTTTCACAATTTGACATCATTCGAAACAGGAACGCCTCGTCGTTTACACGGCTCGGCAATATTCAAAGCAAAAACGCCTCGCCGTAAGCACGGCTCGGCATTACCAACAAAAACTCGCCATGAACATTATCGCGTAACACTCTTTTACTATCAAAAGTTGCCTTGAACCTAAACGAGGTCCTTAAAACAATTCATCCCTTAGCCCGTGTTCCGGTCAATTTCGAAAATATAGTTAAGGCAAAAATCGACATAACAGCCCTCGTCCTCGACAAGTTTACGTAAACACTTCTACGAATCAATGGACAAGTAAAACCGAAAAACGGCTAAGGAAAATATATCCATTAAGCAAAAATAAAGAGTCGGGTGGATAAAGCCGTCCAGGCACAAAACACATAGAAGTTCAACAAGGAGCGGGTAAAAAATCTAGGTACAAAAACAAGCGAGAAAAATTTGTGAGCCAAAACTCATGCCGCGGATTGCGTCTCACGATCGGCGAGAAGGTTCGAGGGAATCGGCGTGCCCGCATTCGAGCCGTTCGGGTCGACAACGCCTAAATTGGCCGCTGTTTCTTCGATCGGCTCGTTACCGAGGGTTGTGTCAACTGAGTCCGGCGAAACGGGAGAGTAATACAGTTCGCCCCGAATCTCGGAAGCGATACGCTCGTACGCCCCTTCATCGGCATACTCGCTTTCCCAGCTTTTCGGCTTCGCTTCCTCGTCGTCGAGCGTCGGAGCATCTGGTTTCTTCAGGTCGGCAATCATCGCCAGATTGCCCTTAATCTGTCCCAGATCATTCTCGTCATTCTTGGCTTTTTCAAGCCGAACCAGACCCTCCTCCACCTTGGCGAGGCGTTCTTGAAACTTTGCTGTAAGCTCTCGCCTCGCCTCCTTTTTCGCCCTCTTGACCTTGGCATCAAACAAGGCATCCTTGGCCTCGATACGCCTCTTCAGCATCGCCACCTCGGCACTTTTGGCTCTCCTCGCCTCCTCAAGGCGAATGACCGAGGCGGAGACTTTATCTACGTTTGCACGTAGGACGATCTTCTCCTCCTCCAGCCTGGACGCCCTGGCCGTCGCCTCGTCCAGCTTCCCCTTTACCGCCGCGGCTTCGGTCTGAGCCTCTTCCAGCTTCGTTTTCGACGATGCGGACTCAATTTTGGCCTCGGCCAAGCGACGTTCGACCTTAGACAGGTCCGCTTCGTACTCGGCCATTAGATCGTTAATGGCCGCGACAAACTGCAGAATGGAATGTACTCGTCAAATACTTAGCGAAAATTCACGAAAGCAAAGGAAAGCAAAATGGAATGTACCTTGGTCCCGCGCTGCGCCATTGCGCCGTAGGACCTCGGCCTCCTCAACTTCTCCGGAGGAGGAAGACGCGTGTTCGCGTTATTTACACGCGAGAACATTATGGCGGAGGCGTCAGGGTCATCAACGACCAACTTGCGCGCGGCGGATTCTCCGGACGTCGGCTTCCGTCTCTTCTTGGACGGCTCGTCCCTCTCAACAGCGACCCCCTTCCCTTTATCAGCAGCCGAACGTTTTCGGCTCGGGTCGTGTTTCTGCACGACGGAAGTCGGGGGCCTCGTCGACTTCGGCAGGGCTAGAATAGCGGAGTTCGAAGGCTCTTTGTTCCGAACCACTGAATCGCCCCCAGACGCCTCGGGAACAATTTCGCCCTGTTCCACCTCGGGCATCACATCTCTTTCGACCACCTCGGTCGTATTACCCTCTGCAGCTCGGGTCGTCTCATCCCGGTTCGGCGGGTCGGTTTGAGGGGTGACCCTAAACCCTAAACCCTAAACCCTACTTATAAAGATTTCCCAAAAAGATGGTGTGTATAATTGGAATGCATTTCCTAAAGATGATGTTTCCAGGGGGAGAATTGTAATGATATGCGTGACTGCACTCTTTTTCCCTTATCATGGTTTTTATTCCAAATGAGTTTTTCTATGACGAGATTTTTAACGAGGCAGCTGATGAAAACGCAAAAGATATACATTTAAAGAGCAATATTTCCAGAAGAAGAGATGCGTGGATGCATTTTTTTTTCTTTGCCATGGTTTTATCCTACTAGATTTTTTCATGACAAAGTTTTTAGTAAAGCATCAAAGAATACGCAAATGATAGACATCCAAGACACTGAGAGAAAGTATTACAATTACAATGATATAGAAGTCAAGAATTATCTATCCAAAGAACTTGGACCGTGGATCGAGGCGCATGAACCACGGGTCGAAAAGGAGGTTCCAAACACGACCCCAATCGGGCCCAATGACCCGGTCGTGTACCAGGAAGCTTGCGAGGGCCGTCCATAAGTTTCTTACCGAGCTGTGGAACCAAGGATCAAACCAAGGAACGGAACCAGCAGCCTGCCCCAAAACCGTACTTACATACCAAGGTACTAACTAACTCGGTCAGGTATGGTTCCTTAATACTCTTGTTCCTTGCACCCGGGGTTGTCCCAATGAGTTTACCGGTGGGGTTTTAACGAGGTTAAGGGCTGTACTATCCTTATGACTGTGGTTCAATCTGTGCTTGGTTGGTGGGTCGGAACTTCAAAGTCAAGTTCGGCCGAGTATGTGTTTTTGTCATTTCCTAAGCATGACCGATGGTTTGCCTATGCTTCTATATAAACTCGTTGTACTTGTCATTTTGGAGGGACATTTTATATAAAATATTTTTCGAGTTTCTCTCTTTCTCGATTTCTTGGTGGTTAGCCATTATCACTTCGGTTTATCAAGATCTTTTCACTGAGTTTGATGCAGCCTACACTCGCAAACGATTAGGGAATTTCGTAGTAATAATCGGGGCTTAAGGATTTTCGGGAAACATTCTTTCTCATGCCTTAACATCCATTACCGCGATCTCTCTATTCTTTTGTTTTCCACCCCTTGTTTTATTCTTTTTTTTTTGTGATTGGGCCTAAGGATATTTGGGACTTTTCTTACGCCTTAGCGTCTTTCACATCGGATCTATCTAATGTCAAGGATTATCAACCTCAACCAGATCAAGTGTGTGACAATCTTTTGGAGTTCATATCAAGTGGTATCAGAGCCACACGATTGAAATCTCGGTAGTATCTATCCATTTTTTGTCTCTTTAAATTCTGCCTTTTCTTATTCTTTCTTTTGTTAAAAAAATGGAAGATCTGTTGAAAATCGAAACTCTTTTCTGTCTGTCTGATCTCTTTATATTCCTCAAATCGCTTGATAATCTGTTTGGTTGAAGGCTTAAATCGAGTTTTTGATTTAGATCTTTTAGAACCCAAGAGAGGCTCTAGTGCATGTGAGGATATTAAGAGGGATGAGAGAAATATCGAGAGAAATATTGTGAGCTGTTTACTAACCGCGTTTGCTGATTTTTGCAAGGTACCTGTATGTCTTCTGACCATACCGGAGACGAATATTCATTCTACACGGAACGTGACGGAAACCATATTCGGTGGTTCAACCTTAAAGAGACCATGAACGCTAAACTAACTCAGTTAACCGAGCTGATGGAGCGGTTGAACCAGCGGATGGATCGGCTTGAAGTTCAGCCAAGACAATCGGATGGAGAAGGAGAAAGCAGCCGGAACCGAAATGAACCAAACCATCTGAGACGAGACCGCAACCAGGACGAAGTCATTGATAACCTGTTTTATGTCGATGGCCATACATTGGGTGGAAGTAGAGTATGACCCAGGCGTGGACGGGAAGATCAACGCAGGCCGAACCGCAGTCTGTACCGCGATCATGCGCGGGACAACCCATATCATGACCGCAATGATCCATGCCGCGGTCAAGAGCGATACAACACAGATGCAGCTAGAGGCCGACCCGACAATGACCTTGGTGGTTTGAAGCTCCGAAATCCATCTTTTTACGGGAAGAATGATACCGATGCTTACCTGGAGTGGGAGAATAAGATATAGATTGTTTTCGGATGTCAAAACCTTACGGAGAGGAATAAAATAAACCTGGCAGCTACAGAATTTCATGGTTATGCTGTAGACTGGTGGGATCAGATCGTTACCAACTGGAGGCGCAACAGGGACCGACCTGTTGAAACTTGGGACGAGATGACATCGCTCATGAGATGGTTTGTTCCGAGCCATTACCAACGCGAGTTACATACTAAGCTCCGAAAATTGGTCCAGGGTACAAAAAATATCGAAGACTACTACCAAGAGATGGAACGGCTAATGCTTAAAGTCGATGTAGACGAACCGGAGGACGCGACAATGGCACGGTTCTTTAGTGGGATGAACCGTGTTGTGCAGGATCGAATGGAGTTGGAAAATTACCGCAGCCTAGCCAAGATGTACCACAAAGCCATACAGGTATAGCAGCAGTTGAAGCGGAAGAGTTCTGCCCGGTTTGGTACCAAGTCCCGGCCTAACAACCGATCCAACTACCTTTTCCGGACTGATCCAAAATCCAAACCCGACTACAAGCCAAGCTCATCAGCAGCCGATCCGAAGGGCAAGACCAAGGCTATGCCGATCAGAAATAGGGATATCGAATGTTTCAAGTATAGAGGCAATGGGCACTACGCTAACAAATGCCCGAATCAGAGGGCTATGCTACTTCTAGACTCCGGCAAAGTCATTACTGATGACGAGGAGGATACTGGTCCAGTGTTCGTGGTAACTTAAGGTTTTCAAGCCTTAAAGAGGGTTATCAATCCCTTGTCAATGTAGAACAAAGGTATCAATCCATGCTTGTGGGTTCTAGACACTAGTTTATGAGCTATGATTCTTAATTCAAGTCAAACAAGTAATGGTTTTGGGGTTTTTTAAACTAATGACAAGATAAGCAAATGATTTAAATAGAAATTAAGCTAGATAAAGATGCAAATAAGCAAATAAAGCAAGATAGATAAGTGGTTATGAGATGATATGATGATGCAAAGGCCTTAGACAGGATAATGAATTAGGGTGCTTTAACACTAAACTAGCAAGTTAATGAACAAATAATCAAGCAAATCTATTTATCATAAAATCGTAAAGGAAGATAATCCCCTCATGAAGGTATTAAACTTCTATGCTAATCCTCTTTCATACCAAAATCCTTTTTAAGAAGCATGAATCAGCAAGCATTAAGAATCAGTTTAATAAGTCATTTAAGAGAACAAACTATCATTATCATGATGAAAGACTCTTAAACCTCTAACAAACTTGGTTCAGACATTTCAACAAACACTTTTGGTGCATGAAAGTGTCTTAGATCTAGACCACAAGTGATGTGCAAGGATCTAGCACAGAGATCGGTTTGTTAGAGAATAGATGATGCAAGATCTAGCCCCTAAACTCACTAATATAGCATCTCAGCACCCTAATCTACCTATATAAGACCTTATAATGGAACTACTCACTAATCATGGAAGAACACTTGATATTTTACAAGAAGTGATGCCAGACATGACAAGAAGCTTGATCTGATGAAAATAAATAATGAGAACAAGATTTTAATGATGCAAAACAAGATATCTGATTAAAGCAGCAAGTTTTTCACAAAAGAGGCAAGTTCTCTAAGAGAATAAAGGATAAGATAAAAGATAAGTAGGGTTTTAGTCCCTAAAACTATTTATAGTGCAGCTAAGTGATGTGGGTCAGCCCGGAACAAACCGGGTACTGAACCGGTCTTCTTGGGAAAATAGGTGAGCTCCTCGGTGTGTGAAGATCCAAGGCCGAGATGCTGATGTTGAGGGGTGCATGTGAACTTGAGAAGAAATGAAGAACTCACCAAGAACATGCATGAACCCTAGTCTTTGATCCATCTTCACGTGCACTCGTTAGAACATCTTTGTTCTTGCTCTGGGTTCGTGACAAGGGGCCTCGGTGTAGGCACACCGTGGAGTCAGGTCGAGGTCTAGATGCTTTCATTCAATAACCTTGCACCTCGGTATACACAAGCTGTGGAGTTAGCTCCAAGTTTTGAGCATTTTGCTTCGGCAAGAATTCACCTTGGTGTGTGCACACCGAGGGGCATTGGTCGAGGGGACAAGGAAGATACGGTCCGACGTGAAATTTTGAGGGGCTGAAGCTGAGGTCCAGTTCCACACTTAGACATAATTTAAACCAAACCGCATAGACGCTCAGCTTCAACACTTAGTCGTTTTCAGCTTTGTTTCCTCAGCATGTGTTCCTCGGTGTAGATATACTGAGGAGTTAGTCCGAGGTATGGACCAAAAATATTCGGAGATAAACCTAGGTATAAGAAAATGTCGAGGGAACGACACCGAGGCCTGCTTAAACACTTAGCACCAATCGCATCTCTAAAAACCATGTATCGACCCGCTTGTCTCCTAATTGCAATAACTTTCAGCTCATAACTCCCAATGGCTTGAAATCTGATCCACAAGAAAGATCACTCAGCCAGATCAAACTTTTGTGAATGACCCATTAGCATCTGGGGAGTCGAAGGTTCCCTGGACGGCTGATCTTTACAACGCATCGGAATGATCAGAAAGAAGCTCTTGGACCCGTGTTCACTCCGGAGACAGTATCTCTTAGAACATAGCTTCAAATCGTGTGATCTCAGCTGTTCTGAAAAGAGAACTCGCAGACATTGAATCTTAATGAGGGCCCCGACAGCTGAATCTGATTAGAAAGGCATCGTCCCACGCAATCTCTGAACCTCATCGGATCGGCTTAAAATGGAGGCGAGACAGGTGTTTCTCCTGACGGTCTTAACTCTCTGCTCACTGCTCC